ATATTTTTTTTTTATTTTTTTTTAATTTATATATATATTTTAAAAAAAATAAAAAATTTTTTTAAAAAAAAAAAAAAATTTTTCATTAGACAACGGGGTTGTAGATTAATATTTTCTTTTTTTTTATTATTTTTTTTCCATTTTTCCCAAAATCATAAAAAAATTTTGTTTTGGGCAATGAACCCCCAGAAATGAATGTCTTTTGTTGAGAAAAAATTTTTTGTCTGTATTTTTCATTTGTTTTTAATTTTTTTAACTTTTTCACAAACTTTTAACTTTGGGTCAAACAGTTTTTTTAAGTTGTTTTTTTAGATAAGAACGGGATGAAATTTTATCCTTAATTTCTGGCTTTGAATTTTTTATTATGGGGGGGATGTTCTTGTTTAGGTTTTTGTGTGTTTTATTTGGTTCCTGGGGGAGGAGTAGAAGATGGGGGAAATTTGTAGGGGATTTTTTGGCCATTAGGTGAGGAGATGGTGTGTGTTTAAAATCGTGGTTTTCTCTTTTATTTATATATATTAATATATATATAGAGAGAGAGAGAGAGAAAGAGAGAGAGAGAAAAAAAAGACTAAAACACTAATATTATATTTAAAATTATTCATTGGAATCTAAAGATCACCATCAGATAAAAATTTAAAAAAAACCCAAAATTATTAGTTTTGGGTTTTTTTATACTAGCAGATGGCCTGCTCATTAAAATCACGACCATAAACCAACGCTATCACTTGTTTTAAAATTTTTCCCCTTCCTTTTTTTTAAAGGGCCCTTTCCGTTGATTTTTTACATTTTTTACTTGCCTATTCACACTGCGAATTTTTTCAAGCCTATACTAAACAAAGTCTGTTAGAAAAAAACAAACAAAATGAACACAAACGATCAGCTTTAAAAAGGACTCGTAAGGGAAAAAACCGAATAAAAAAGAATGTTAAAAAAAATACTTTTCACACCCAATCCAGTTCTGCGGAACGAACAAGGAAAGCGGAATGAGCCATGGAGTTTCCGCAGATTTAATTTTTCCAACTTGGACGAATGAGCACGATTTTTTCATGTAGTTAACAAAGCGGTCTTCCTTCCCCTAACCCCGGGGCATTTTGTAAATTTTGCAACCGGAAAAAATTTGGGGGCATTTGTTACACACACACATCCTCCTTTTTTTATAGAGATTCTTAATTGTCCGAATAATTCTACCTGGGTTCTATCCCTTTGGGAAAAAAATTTAATATATATATATATATATATATATATATATAAATTTTTGGGATATCTTTTCCAAATCCCGCCCTTTCCATCATATCTCGTCGGCTGATATTGAGAAAGTGACTGAGTCGTCCCCCTTGATTTTTTGCCACTCTCCATTGGCTGAATTTCTGAGGAATCATGAGGGACTAACCCAATGAATTGGAGTCCAACACCAATGAAGAAGAGGATATATAAAAAAAAAGGAAAAAACAAGGAAATTAATATAAAGACGGCAGGTGAATTAAAAAGAAAGAAAGAAAGAAAGGGGTCAACAGGATAAAAAAAAAGGGGGAAGGATATGAAAAATAAGTAAAAGAAAGAAAGAAAGAAAGAAAAAAGAAAGAAATGTCAACAGGATAAAAAAGAAAGGGTGTTATATAAAAATAAGGAAAGAGAAAGAAAGAAAGAAAGAAAGAAAGAAAATGTCAACGGGTAAAAAAGGAAAAGGGAAAAGGGTATGATAAATATTGAAAGAAAGAAAGAAGAAAGAAAGAAAGAAGCTAGAAATTAGAATAAAAGAAGTAGATAAAAAAAATAATGAAGAAAAAGAAAGAAAGAAAAAAAAAAAAAAAATTGCAAAAAAAAAAAAAGGCGAAAAAAAAAAAAGGGAAAAATTTAAAAAAAAAAATGAACCAAATTGCAAAAAAATGAAAAAAAAAAAAAGAAAAAAAAGAGAAAGAAAGGAAAAAAAGAAGGCTTGATAAGAAAAGGGAAAGATGATGACAGAAAGGGGACAAAGAAGGATCAAAAAACAAAAGAACCCAAACAAAAAAACAGGAAAAGAAAGAGAGAAAAAAAAGAAAAAAAAGAACGGGATGGAAAGAAAGAAAAAAAGAAAGAAAGAAAGAAAGAAAGAAAGAAAAAGAACAAAGAAAAAAAAAGGAAGTTTCTTCAAAAAAAAAAACAGGTTTTGAAACACATATACATTGTCACAGTGTGGCTAGACGTCCGTTCAAGGCGTGATCGAATGCCCGATTTGGTATTAGTCAGAGAAAGGAAATTTTATCGTTTTCTATGCGAAAAAGCGGCCTGAGATCTCAATTCACTTGGTTGACGAGCAATGTTTAAAACCGTATGAGCCATTTTTTTTAAAATTATTTTTCTAAAGAGATCTCAAAGATTTTCCGGGAACATAAAATGATGACAATAAATATACCCCCGGAGATATAATTGATGAATATATATATATATATAAAGGGTTTTTCGTGGTTACGGGTTGTATGAGGAAGATTTTCCCCCCTGTACGCCAATTTATTGGTTACTTTACTGTATCTGTTTGGCGTTTTTTGGGGGAACCTTCCCCTTCAATTTGGCTCCAAGGGAAGGCAGATTTGGGGGTGCTTATGGAAAAATTTTATATATATATATATATATATATATATATATATATATATTATATATATATATATATATATATATAAAAGAGAGAGATTTCTTTTTAAAATTTTTATTTTTAAACATTTTTTTTAAAGACACAAATTTAAAAATGTTGTTTAAAAAGTATTAAAAAACATTTCCAGTCTGAAGTCCGATAAATTTTCATAGAAAATATTGCCTCCGACAGAATCGCCAGTATTTATAAAAACCCGTCTTAAGCCTGATGTCCCTTTTTAACGATTTACAGGGGCGTTGGTTAGCAAGGTCGATTTTACTGTTTTGAACAAATCTTCCATGATTCACTAGACATTCTTTTTTCTATGAAAATTTCTCGACATTCAGGCGAAAGGGTTTTTTAATCCCTTTTTATAAAATAGAGCATTTAATCAAAAATTTGTATTATAAAAGAACGTATAAACAAAAAAAATTTTAAAAAATAATTTTTGAATTATCCTTTTTAATTTATAAAATATATGTATAAAGTAACACGATAAAATTACACACACACACAACACACACACACACACACACACACACAAAAAAACCCCCCTTATATATATATATATATATATATTTTTTTCAAACAGGCCCCAAAAAAATTAAAAATAAACAAAAAGTTAAAAAAATATATATATATATATATATATATATAAAATTGTCTTCTTTATTTTTTAAATAAGATATCCAAAGGAAGTCAAATGAAAATGTACCAAATTATAAATTTCAAAATTACATTTTAAATAAATTCCTTTGGGAAAAAAACTAAATCAAATAAACCCCTTTTTTGAAAAAAGGGAAAACCCCCATAGAGGGCAAATGCAGATGCACAGTGTAGTATACCAGGAAACCATTATTAAAAAAAGTACGGCAAACCATTTTTAATCGGTTTTTTGAAGGAGAATTTAAAATAGAATCAATACAGAATTCATTCACCAATCCAAAATTAAAACCAAACAACCTTTTAAAAAAATTTGGGGGAATTGAAAGGAAATTGAACCCCAAAAAATTTGGGAATATTCTATTTTTCCCCAAAACCCCAAAAGTTGTAGGATAGGTGAAAACAGTTTAGAAAAAAAAAAACAGGATAATAAAATATAAAGATGAATGAAAACTATTAAATCAAGGGAGAGAACTAACGAAATGGACATAGAAACAGATTAAAAAATTCATAAAATATGTTATTTATGGGGGTTTTGCGTACGATAGTGTCAATGCATGAAAGGGGGGGCCCCCAGGCGGTAAGGGTTAGAAAGTTGTCTGTTAGAACAATTTATGAGTAGTGAGTTGATCCATATCTAATCTGCGAAAAACTATATGTATGAAAGAAAGGGTTAATGCTGAATGAAGATATATATGCATATAAGTGTGTTAAGCATGATTTATGGTGTGCTCTGGTATTACCACAATCTATAATTCAACTAATTTACATTAATTTTAAGGGAAAGTTTACATCTCCCACCCTTATTAATAAACGGGACACATATAATAAAAAATATTTACTATGAAACCCAGAAAAACAGTTGGGGCTGTATAAGAAACGCCACATAGTAGGAACTTATTTTAAAAAACAAAAAACGGAAGGTTTTTAGTAAAAACCCCCAACCCCCGAACCGTTCCCGGATTTTTTTAACAAAACAAGTCGCCAAAAACCCCTTTTTCATTAGCAAGGCTTACAGAGGATACTGACACGAAAATAAATTTTAAAATAATGCTCCTAAAAGACACTTAGAGGCAAAATACGATACAGAACGGTTTGAAATAGACTATCGCATGTCTAGATTTTTTAGTTTTTTGCTGAAAAGACATATGCTCTGTTATTATAAATACATTGAGCCTTTTGGGGACCAGTTTTAATAATTATAATTGGGATCCCCCCGGATTAATGAAAGGGATCGATTAACGTACTATTATATATATATATATATATATATATATATATATATATATTTTTAAAAAATTCCCACTCTACTGTCAAATTAAGGAAGGTAAACAGACAATCCAGGAAACTGACAGCCAGACACCAGCACAGAGATTTGATTATGGGGGGGAAGGGTTTTTGGGCAGAATCCCACTTTTTTAAGGGCCAAAAAAGAGATTTGGACACACGTTCCACAGGTCCCCCAAAAGACCTCACAGGTTTTTTAATTGGTTTTTCTGGGGGGGCCCCCTCCAAGGGTTGAACTCAGTCTGTCCCCCTATTTAAAGAGAGGGAAAAAAGGGGCCCCCTTCCCAAAAAAAACGGGTCATTCCCCCAACCGCCTAATTTTTAATTTTTTATATATATATATATATATATATATATATATATATATATATATATATATATATATATATATATATATATATATATATATATATATATATATATATATATATATATATATATATATATATATAATTTATATATATATATATATATTTTAAAAAATTTATATATATATATTTTGTTTTAAATATAAAATTTTTGTTGGGTTTTTGAAAATTGAAAATAGGAAAAAAGGGGAAAAAATCCAAAAATTTTGCATTTTTAAATTTTTTTAAAAAATTAAAAAAGTAAGCATAAAAAAAAATATTTATTTAAAATTTAATTTTTAATAAAAAATTTTTTAAATTGTTTAAAAATAAAATTTTATAGTAAATTTAATAAAAATATAAAAAAAACATTCATAACCCAAGCCCCAAATAGAGTTTAAAAACCTTTTTAAAAAAACCTTTTTTTTTTGCAAAAAAAACTTGAAAGTTTTTCTTTTTTTATACAATTCCTTTTTTAAAAAAAAATAAAAAAATTAAATTTCCATGAAAAAAAACAGGGTTTTTCCTTTTTTTTTGGGCCCCCCCTTTTTACTTCACTAAAATTTAAAGATTAATTTTCCCCCCTGTACCCCTTTAAAAACCCCTTTTTTTAAAAATTTTATTTAATTTTAAAAAAATAAATTTAATAAGTTATTAAAAAATTTGGTTGAAATCAAAATTTTTTTTTAACTAATTTAATTTTAAGAAAAATTTAATTTTTTCCCCTTTTTTAAAAAATGGTTATGGCGGTAATTTTTAAAAATTTTAAAATTTTAAATAATTTTAAAATTTTAAAATAATAAAAGCCTGTTTAAAATTATTTTTCCTTTTAAATTTAAAATAATTAAATTATTTTGAAAATTTAATTTTTTTTAAAAAAAAAATTAAAAAAATTAAAATAACGGGGGAGTTTGTTTTAATTTTTTGATTATTAAAAAAAAAATTTTTAATAAATTTTTTATTTTTTTTAATTTTAAATAAATTTTTAAAATTGGGTTTTAAATTTCCTTTAGACATTTATATAAAAAAATTAAAAAAATTTAATTAAACACAAGGGGGGAAAATTTGAAAAAACTTTTTATATATATATATATAAATAAAAAATATTATTATATAAATAAGAATCCCCTGGGTTTTTATTTTTGGGGGCCCACAGACAAAAAATTTAAATTATATTTACAAAAGGAGGAATAGGAGAAGAGGGGTTTCAAAATTTTTTCCTAAAAAACACAAAACATAATATTTTTACAAATAAAAAAAAAAAAAAATTATTAAATAACCTATAAATTGACTTTCAACCCCCCTTTTTTTAATAATAAACAAAAAACCAAAAAAAACAAAATAATAATAAAATAATATATTTGGGGAAAAGAGAAGAAGAAGGGGGGAAAAAATTTTTTTAAAAAAGTGGTTTTCTAAAATTTCAAAAAAATATTAAATTCAAATAAAGGGGTTTTTAAAAAAAGGCAGGGACCCCCCGAAAAAAATTAAGGTGACAATTGACCAAAAAACCCGGGAAAAAATGAAATAAAAAAAAAATTTGGAAAGAATAAGGGGGGGGCTAAAAAATAAAAAAGTTGCAAATTTACCGAAAAAAAAAAGAATATGACGCAAAATTTAAATAGCCGGAAAAAAGTTAAAAACATTAAATTTTTTCTAAAAAAAATAGAAAAACAAGGTTTTAAAACTGTTGTTAATTTTGACAGGAAAAAGTTAGTTAATCCCCCTTTAAAGGGGGAAATTTGGAAGGGGGAAATTTAAAAAGATAATATAAGAATCCTTAAAATGGCCTGGAATGAAAACAGATAGGAAATAAAAGGGCGTTGTTCCAAAACCGAAAAAGGGTTACTCAAGGGGGTTTTTTGGTAAAAAAACACAAAATGGAAAAAAATTTCCAATAAAAATGTCCTCCTCACCAAAAAAAAAACAAAAAAAAAAGAGTTTTTATTTAATTATAAAATTTATAACAAAGGAAAGTTTTTGAAAAAAGGTAAACAAAAAAATTTAATTGAATTATTTTAAGGGGGTTAATTTTGGAGTTCTTTAATTGGGTTTCCGGAATTTTTTTAAAAAATTTGGGGAAAAAAAATTACTTTTAAAATTAAAAAATATTTTTTTTTTTGTTTTTAGGGCCCTTTCCGGGCCCCAAAAATTATTATATTTTATGCCTTTTACCCACAAAAACCAAAAAAAAAAATTTTAAAAAGGGAAAAAATTTTTAAAATTTATTTAAAAAAATAATATTGATCCAAAAAGAATGAAAAAACAAAAAAACAAAAAAAATTTAGAATTTTTGTTTTTTAAATTTTAAAATAAATTTAATTAAGTTTCGGTCTAATAAATTTTGGGGGCATTTTAAAACATAAGGATTAATTTTATAATTTAAATTTTTTTTCAAATTTTAAAAATTTTTTTTTTAATTTTAAAAAAAGGGGAAAAAAAGTTTTTTTTAACCGTTTCCAAGGGAAAAGGGTTTGATTCTGTGGGACGAATATTTTCTATGAAAATTTCGAATTATTTTGGAAATGTTGTTTAATTTTTTATTTAAAAACAATAAAATTTGTATCTAAAAAAATGTAAAACATAAAATGTCTTAAAATAATTTTGATTTTTGTCTTTTTTTTAATATATATAATATATATATATATATAAGAGGATGCAATTATTTTGGGGCACGATCTTTGAAATGATGCGAGGCATATATTTTTCACGCAGTAGGTTGCCATTTTTTTCTTTTGATCATTGCCATCCGCTAAAAAACCCCGCCTGCTATTTACCCATAAGGGGGGGAAAAAGAGGTTTCATTATCGAAGGAAGAGGATCGACTGAATTGAACTGGCCTCCGTTTCCCCTAATTTCGATCCGCATCCATTACTCCACCCCCTCTCTCTTCGTTTTTTTCTCTCTTTCGATAGATAGATAGATAAGGATAGATAGATAGATAGATTAAAAAAAGAAGTAAAAGCAAAAAAATGTCCGGTATTTTTTAGGACTTTTTTAATAATTCGGCATATCAACCCCTATGGGTTCTTTAACGCCAAACCGTATTTTGGTATGTTTATGCTTTGGTTTTTTTTCAGGGTTCAATCTTATCCAAAGGTACTACCAAAATAACGAAACAATAAGTTTAAAAAAAAGTTTTAAATTTTTTTCAAATGGGAACACGAAAAGAATTAAATTTTGACAATGGGTTCTTTTTAATTCCCATATCTCTTCGGGGCGTAGGGATCAGACTTACACTTCTGTATTAACGTTCCAGGAAAGATAAGGGAGGTCCTTTTTCTTTTCTTTTTTAACCCAACGGGGAGGGGGGCCCAAAAAAACATCCACTTTCTTTTTTGTTGCCCAAAAGGGATTGTCAAGTCCTGTTGATTTAAACCCCCGTTGTTTCGGATATTCCATTTTTAAAGAAACCCCCAAGGGGGAAGAATGATAACCCCCCCCAAACCAAAAAATGTTTTAAAAAACTTCAAATTCGTTAAAAAGAAAAAAAAACCCCCATCTTTTTACAAGAATCCCAAATTTTTTTTTCATCTTATCAAAGGAAGGATTAATCCCCAAATGACACTTAGGAAAAAACAACACTGAAGTTTCCCAGATTGAGCGTGAAGTTTTACTTGACACCCAGAAAAAGGGGGAAAAAATGGGGGGGAAGGGGAAGAAAAAAAAAAAATTTAGGGTAGATATGAATATTTTAGTACAGAAATATTATAAAAAAAAAATTTTTTATTAAAAAATTAAAATAAAAGATAGATAAAAGATAGATAGATAGATAGATAGATAGAAAATTTTTCTTAGATAAATTATATACATAAAACATAAAGAAAGTTTAGTTAGAAGTAGACAATGAAAAATTTTTAGATAAATAAATACGAATAATATTTTACAAACCTTTAAATTTTTTGTTTTAGATAAATATTAAAACTGTAATAGAGGATAGAAAATAGATAAAAGGAAGAAACTAACAGGAAAAAAAAAAAAACACATAGATAAAAGAGAAGATGATAATAATAGATAGAAATGAAAAAACCTGAAAAGAAG